CTGATATCTATCTATCTATCTATCTATCTATCTATCTATCTATCTATCTATCACATAAAGTAACAGAGTTATGGAGGCTAATTAGTAAAATGTATAGTATCTAAATGCCCTATGTTGATAGTTTGTCATTAAATCGAATCTATATATTCTGTAAATTTTTCTCTCTGTCTTCTTATGATTTGTTATTTGATATCTTTAAATTCCGCATGATTAGATATCTTAAGTTTTGAAATTAGAGTTATTTTAATCATTCCAAATGACTTCAAAAGGCTTGTATAGAGTTATAGATCATACAGCTAAAAAACAAAAAATAAACTGTGTGTGTATTGTGAACTTCAGAACTTGTGTGTTACATTTTAACGTATGTATTCATTAAAAAAAAAAAAAGTACACATTTGGTATCGTTATGTTGGAAAAAGCTCCGTCCTGTGAGATGAAACCTTTCTTATCCAGGTTTTTACAAAAGTTTTGCAACTATCTTTGCCCCAAAGCAAACAAGAAATGTGGCATATTAACCCTTTAAAGTCTGATCCAAGAATAAAACAAAACAGAAAATTACTTTTTTTTGTTTGAATTCCTTATTTGGCCTTTTAACAAAATATGTAAAAAGGAAAAGCAAAAATATATTTTTGATATTAATAATTTATTACTATGCGATAAGTCAGGATTATTTTTTGTGTAGTCTTCTGCCCCCTGTTATCAGGTGTATCTGATTGTGTATAATAGGATTTTGAGCAAAGTTTTTACCATTAAATTATGCAAAAGGTGTCAGACGCAAAACATTTCAGAAACCGTATGAATCAAATATGATACATTTGGCATTATAGGGTTAAAGCCTGATCCAAGAAAAACAGGAAGAATATTGGATTTTTTTCGTCTGAAGTCTTTCTTTGGCCCCTCAACAACATATGAAGAAAAAAAAACTGAATTATTTTGATCAAATTAGCGTGCAATAAGTCAAAAATATATGTTGGTGTGGTCTTCTACTGGCTGTTATCAGGTATATCTGAATGTGTACAACAGGGGTTTGAGCAAAGCTTTTACCACTGAATGATGCAGAAAGTCTCAGATCAACAAAATATGAAGAAAAAAAAAAGAAGAATATATGAAAATATATGAAATATGAAAAAATGAAGAAAAAAACAGAAATGATTTGATCAAATTAGTGTGCAATAAGTCAAAATATATTCCAAAAGATCCAAAAGACTTCAGAAACCGGATCAAATATGACACATTTGGCTTTATAGGGTTAAATAATCATTATACGGCCTCTTCCAGCTGAAGGAGTGAAATACTGAACTATAACAGGTATAGAAAATGGCGAAATGATTCCAGGAATGGAGAGTTTTAATGACAGAAACTGGATCATACTGTATGAGGTTATGCTGACTAGATTAAGAGGTAAAAAATCGGGATTTATTCAAAGTGTGCCTGATTGTCAGTAGTGGCTTTATTATATAAGACTGGCAGGAATGTGAGAATTACAGTTTTCAACCTTGTTATTATAATATCCAGTGTTGGGTAAGTTACTTTAAAAATGTAATCCGTTACAGTTACAAGTGACCTTGTTTAAAATGTAATTGTAGTGTAACTTTTTTGATTACTTTTAAAAAGTAATGTAACTAATTACGTTTGATTACTTTAAGGTTTTAATGAGTATTGACCCATGATTCATTTTAGCATGTTATTATTAGCTATTGGCCGCAGCTAGCAGTTCAAGGCTAACGTCTGTTATCGATACTTTTGAAAATGAGTATCGTATCCAGATACAACATTTTAGTATCTATACTTTTTTAAGTATCGATGCTTTTGACAACCCTAGTCTAAAATGTAGGACATGTCCGGGAAAAAGAGGACGTCTGGTCACCTACAGTTGGCTAGGCTAGGCTAGGCTAGGCTAGGCTAGCTCATAGACATCGATAAACGTTTGTCAAACAGTCAAATATTAGTAAATCAATACGCTTCGTCTATTGGTGACTTGCATATTTTGCAAAGGTTTTTCTTTATATTTTTTAAATAATGTAACTACATTTGTAATTCTTAATATTTTCTGAAGTAACTGTAACTCAATTACATATTTTCTCATTGTAACTGTAACGAATTACAGTTACTCTATTTTTGTAATTAAATTACGTAACGTCGTTACATGTAATCCGTTACTCCCCAACACTGATAATATCGGTATGTTAAGATACGTGTTTCCTTTTTTAAAATCTTTTTTTAATCCTTTTTCAGGATAGCTTTTACCATTAAATTATGCAAAAGGAGTCAGACGCAAAACATTTCAGAAACCGTATGAATCAGATATCGTTCTGAGACCCGGCCCATTCATTTATGTCCATTATAGTGGACATTTTGTCCACCTGTACCCCCCCTAAGTATCTGGAGTTACCCTATCAAGCCCTACAGTGTTCTGTAGAGGACATCCTGGGCTTTCTGTGATAGGTTTGCATGCTGGGAACTTTACTTTTTTCCTAAGAGTTCTTGGCTAAATATCCCTTTCAAGACATCTTCTTTTTTATTATTTAATTATCTAAAGCCTGTTCTATTTTCCCATCCAAATCGTCCTGTTGTCCTCCACAGTGGACATGCTATGAAATTAAAATAAAAAAATTGTTTGTTTTTAATTGAAATTGTAATGTTCTTTTTTAGGTCCAATGTGAGAATTACAGTTTTCCACCTAGATATTATAATATTGGTATGTTAAGATACCTGTTTCCTTTTTAAAACAATTTTTTTTATCCTTCTTCAGGATAGCTTTTACCATTAAATTATGCAAAAGGTGTCAGACGCAAAACATTTCAGAAACCGTATGAATCAGATATGACACATTTGGCATTACGGGGTTGAGCAGATACCAGGGGATTGGGGCCTGGGGGGGGGG